ATAAAATTCATGCTCACCTCAAGAAACAAGAAAAATCTCAAATAAACAATCTAACCTTACACCTGAAGCAACTAGAAAAAGAAGAACAAAGAAAACCCAAAGTTAACAGAAGGAAAGAAATCATAAAGATCAGATCAGAAATAAATGAAAAAGAAATGAAGGAAACAACAGCAAAGATCAATCAAAACTAAAAGCTGGTTCTCTGTGAAGATAAACAAAATTGATCAACCTTTAGCCAGACTCATCAAGAAAAAAAGGAAGAGGACTCAAATTAGTAAAATTAGAAATTAAAAAGGAGAGATTACAACTGACACCGCAGAAATACAAAAGATCGTAAGAGACTACTACAAGCAACTATATGCAAATAAATTGGAAAACCTGGAAGAAATGGAAGAATTCTTAGAAGAATACAACCTTCCAAGATCGAACCAGGAAGAATTAGAAAATATAGGCAGAGCAATTACAGGTAATGAAGTGGAAACTGTAATTTAAAATCTTCCAACAAACAAAAGTCCAGGACCAGATGGCTTCACAGGCAAATTCTATCAAACATTTACAGAAGAGTTAACACCTGTCCTTCTCAAACTCTTCTAAAAAACTGTGGAGGGAGGAATACTCCGAAACTTGTTCTACGACGCCACCATCACCCTGATACCAAAACCAGACAAAGACATCACAAAAAAGGGAAATTATACACCAATATCACTGATGAACACAGATGCACAAATCCTCAACAAAATACTAGTAAACAGAATCCAAAAACACATTAAAAGGATCATACACAATGATCAAGAGGGATTTATCCCAGGGATGCAAGGATTCTTCAGTATACGCGAAACAATCAAAGTGATATACCATATAAACAAATTGAAGAATAAAATCCATACGATTATCTCAATAGATGCTGAAAAAGCTTTTGACAAAATCCAACACCCATTTATGATAAAAACTCTCCAGAAAGTGGGCATAAGGGAATCTACCTCAACATAATAAAAGCCATATATGACAAACTCACAGCAAACATCATTCTCAATGGTGAAACAATGAAGGAAGTTCCTCTAAGATCAGGAACAAGACAAGGATGTCCACTCTCACCACTCTTATTCAACACAGTATTGGAAGTCCTAGCTGCAGCAATCAGAGAAGAAAAAGAAATAAAAGGAATACAGATTGGAAAAGAAGAAGTAAAACTGTCACTGCTTGCAGATGACATGATACTATACATAGAAAATCCTAAAGATGCTACCAGAAAACTACTAGAGCTAATCAATGAATTTGGTAAGATTGCAGGATACAAATTAATGCACAGAAATCTGTTGCATTCCTATACACTAACAATGAAAGATCAGAAAGAGAGATTAAGGAAACAATCCCATTTACCATCACAACAAAAAGAATAAAATACCTAGGAGTAAACGTACCTAAGGAGGCAAAAGACCTGTACTCAGAAAACTATAAGATACTGATGAAACAAATCAAAGATGATACAAACAGGTGGAAAGATACACCATGTTCTTGGATCGGAAGAATCACTATTGTGAAAATGACTATACAAACCACAGCAATCTACAGATTCAGTGCAATCCCTATCAAATTACCAATGGCATTTTTCACAGAACTAGAACAAAAAAATTCACAATTTGTATGGAAACACAAAAGACCCCGAATAACCAAAGCAATCTTGAGAAAGAAAAACGGAGCTGGAGGAATCAGGCTCCCTGATTCCAGACTATACTACAAATCTACAGTAATCAACACAGTACGGTACTGGCACAAACACAGAAATATAGATCAATGGAACAGGATAGAAAGCCCAGAGGTAAACCCACGCACATATGGTCACCTTATATTTGATGAAGGAGGCAAAAATATACAATCGAGAAAAGACAGCCTCTTCAATAAGTGGTGCTGGGAAAACAGGACAGCTACATGTAAAAGAATGAAATTAGAACACTCCCTAACACCATACACAAAAATAAACTCCAAATGGATTAAAGACCTAAATGTAAGGCCAGACACTATCAAACTCTTAGAGGAAAACATAGGCAGAACACTCTATGACATAAATCACAGCAAGATCCTTTGTGACCCACCTCCTAGAGTAAGGGAAATAAAAACAAAAATAAACAAATGGGACCTAATGAAATGTAAAAGCTTTTGCACAGCAAAGGAAACCATAAGACGAAAAGACAACCCTCAGAATGGGAGAAAATATTTGCAAATGAAGCAACTGACAAAGGATTAATCTCCAAATTATACAAGCAACTCATGCAGCTCAACATCACAAAAACAAACAATGCAATGCAAAAATGTGTGGAAGACATAAATAGACATTTCTTCAAAGAAGACATACAGATAGCCAACAAATACATGAAAAGATGCTCAACATCACTAATCATTAGAGAAATGCAAATCAAAACCACTACGAGGTTATCATCTCACAATGGTCAGAATGGCCATCATCAAAAAATCTACAAACAATAAATGCTGAAGAGGGTGTGGAGAAAAGGGAACCCTCTTGCACCGTTGGTGGGAGTATAAATTGATACAGCCACTATGGAGAACAGTAGGGAGGTTCTTTAAAAAACTAAAAATAGAACTACCGTATGACCCAGCAATCCCACTACTGGGCCTATACCCTGAGAAAACCATAATTCAAAAAGAGTCACATACCACAATGTTCATGGCAGCACTATTTACCATAGCCAGGACACTGAAGCAACGTAATTGTCCACCAACAGATGAATGGATAAAGAAGATGTGGTACATATATACAATGGAATATTACTCAGCCATAAAAAGAAACGAAATTGAGTTATTTGTAGAAACATGGATGGATCTAGAGTCTGTCATACAGAGTGAAGTAAGTCAGAAAGAGAAGAACAAATACTGTATCCTAATGCATATATATGCGATTTAAAAAAGCAGTACTGATGAATAAAGTGGCAGGGCAGGAATAAAGACGCAGACGTAGAAAGCAGACTTGAGAGCATGGGGCAGTGGAAGAGGAAGCTGGGATGAAGTGAGAGAGCAGCATTGACATATTATGGGGAAGGATGCACACCTCTGTGACTGTATTAAAAGTCATTAAAATGTACACTCTTACATGGCTGATTTGTATGGCATGTGAATTATATCTTAATCAATTTGTCAGGAAAAAAACCTGCACAAAATAAATAAATAAATAAATAAAAATGCTCCTTTTATCTAAGCAATGAACAGATGCAGCATTGTTACCATGGGAGAGGAAAAGAACTCTCTCCTTTGTGTGTCCATTTGTTTCCAAAAATGGAAAGAAACTGAGAGGAAGAATTCTAAAGGTTCCAGTAGGTGAGCATGGACACACAGTATGTGCCCGATGTTTGTGGAACAAATCTGTTGCAGGTTGAATGGTGTCCCCCTCAAAAATAAAAAAAATAGTGTAAGAGTCCTAACCCATAGTACCTCAGAGTGTGACCTTACTTGAAGACAGGGTCTTGACATATGTAATGAACTTAGAATGTAGTCATGAGTCTGGGTGGCAATCCTATATGACTAATGTCCTTATAAAAAGGGGAGATTTAGACACAGAAATGGATGCATAGAGAAAACACAATATGATGAGATAGAGGAATAAGGCCACTGTGTACAAGCCAAGCAGAGAGGCCTGGAACCAATCCTTTCCTCAAAAGGCGTTAACCCTGCTGACCCCCGATCTTGGACTTCTGGCTTGAGGCAATACCTTCCTGTTGTTGAGACTACCCGGTCTGTGGTGCTTTGATACAGGAGCCTAGCACATTTGGGTCACAGTCCCTCCACTAACTGGATGATGAACTGCCTTCTCTTAGATCCAGGGTCCTCAATGGGAAATCATGATTGGAGTAAAAACAGGGAATGTGTCTCACAGCGACAGCTCTAAAAAGACATAAGTGAATTGAGCATATACTATTTGCCAGTTCCAACAGCTTGACCTGCCTTGCGCCATTTAACACCCCGGTTTTACACACGAGGAAACGAAGGCACAGAGGTTTACTGCTTATTGTTGATACATTTGCTGAACTCAGGTGCCTCCGAGTGCAGTTTACGCACTTCACCAGAAACACAACGCTCAGATTTTAAAGTCTCTGAAACGTTCTTATTTCTGCTTCTTGAAAGATCCTATCTTTATGCTTAAACATGCATATGCAATGCCAACTAACACTAAATGGAAACGGGGGTGTGGGAAAGTATTCCTGAGAGTGGTCGAAAAAAAAGAATGCTTTGCAGGTTGCCTTCAGAAAGTTTGGGGGAAAAGAAGAAAACACATAGCAATCCAAGACAGATGAGACATAAAGGCAAAAACGGCAAGGCATTTTAAAACGTCTTATTATTTCGGCTCTTTCCTATCAAACTTCGGCGGGGGGTTGCTCTGGGAGAACGGACCAGCCAGGGATGCTCGGGGGATACAGGCGCAAAGGATGGGGACTCGCGCGCCACTGCGCGTGCGCCCTACGAGGCACGCAGGGAGCCGGGCGGGCAAAACTGAAACGGAAACCTGCCAGGTGTCCAGGGACGGGCGCTCCGGGCGGGGACGAAGCCACCGGGGACCCCGTAACTAAGGCCACCTGGCTACCCATTTACTTGGTGGCTCTCAAGGATGCCAACCTGAGCATCTATGCACTCTTTCCATCAACCCCATGCGCCGTCGTCCCTCCACGCCCTCCCTCCTTCCTCATGCCCTTTCCATAATTCGAGCCAGGCATTGGCACCCAGATTAGGAACTCGGCTCTGCTCGGCCCTTTGACTCAGCATCCCAGCCCGTTTACGGGTATGAAGTGAGCGTGGGCGGGGGTGGTGGTGGTGGTGGTGGTGGTGGTGGTGGTGGAGGATGCAGGCAAACTTGTCGCGCCCGCGCGTACCACGGCGGCGGCGACAGCAGGGGTGACCGTCCTCGGCGCGCGTGCGCAGAACATGCCGGCGAGGCCCAGAGGGCGCGGGAGCGGCTCCAGTCGCGTATTCCAGGAGCCTCGGAAGGAGGCCAGCCGCAGGCGAGCGCCGGGCGGCGAAGGCTCAGGGCGCGCGATTTTTGAGGGACCGCGCTAGGACGCTTGAGGCGCGCGTGCGCAGAGCAGCTCGGGGCTCACGGGGCTTGCCCGAACGCGCATGCGCGAGAGCGTCCCGGGGGCGCGGGCGCGAGGAGGCCGGGGTCCGCGCGTGCGCAGCACGGCTCGGGGCGCGCGGGGGAGGCTCGGAGCGCGTGTGCGCGCGCCTCTTCCCCGCCCCCACTCGGCCGAGACGGCGGCACAATGGCGGCGCCCTTGCCCCCGCTGCGTCCCGTCACCCACCTGCTTTTTGACCTGGACGGCCTCCTTCTGGGTGAGTAGCCTGCGGCCGCCTCCCGCGAGGGCTGTCTGGGAGGACGCGGGCGGCGGGTAGAGGCTCTTAGGGGCGTGAGCTGCGGCGGGGCGGTGTGCGGGGTCCCCGGGCTGGCGGGCGGCGGGGGTGCGGGGCCCACGTCAGGCCGGCCGCGCTCGTGGCTGAGGCGTCGACGGCGCCCGGGGCACTTACTTCCGGCGGCCGCGCCGCGCGTGGGGACGGAGTGCGTGGCGGGCGGCGCGTGAGGGCGCGGTGCTAGGGGACCACCGCGCGGGCGGGAGGTTGGCGTTGGGCCTCGGGGGCCGCGGGCGCTGCGCGCGCAGCCGGGCCTCCATTTCCCTGTCTGCACCCCGGCCTGTAGGATCACTGCAGGCTTGCCCAGAGGTGCACGCACCTTGCTCGTAGCATCCTACAGGGCAGCGTCCTCTACCCGCCGATTTGGGGGCCTCTGCCGACGTCTGGAGGCGTTTGGGGCAGCCTAGCTGGAGGGTGGGAGTTTGCTGGCGTCCAGAGGGTAGCGGCTGGGATGCGGCGGAACCTCTCGCAGTGCACAGGACCGCTCCACGCCACCGCGACTGCTCCACACCCAAGTATCTGTAGCGCGGAGGCGGCGGAGGAGTCCTGCTCAGCGGTCTGGCTGGTCCGAGTGACTCCCAGCAGGGACATGACCGGGGAGCAGCAGTTTTGCAGTGCAGAGCCCGAGTCCCCACCCTACAGCTGCCCAATCAGAACCTACATTTTCACCCAAGTGCCGGGGAGTTAGAGGTGCACACCCGTGCTGTGGCTTTGAGCGGTTAACAATCTTGTGTGCGCCGAACAGCCCCGTAGTCGATGGTGGTAGGCGTGAACTTACCCACCGAGGCGAATTCAAGTAGAATTCGTAGAAAACGCTGCGTTTATAACTCAACAGAGAACTGCTCTGAGCTCTGCCTTACAGCTTGGGCGTATGTTTCATGACACTACCCGGTGTTACAGGGTTAGGAAACGCGTTCTGACCTCATTGTCTCCGGAGGGCTTCATAGGACTTTAAAAATGTCTGCATGCTTTACGTAGGCTACTAACCTGGTGGAGGTGTGCATACATCAGTGCTGCCTCTCATAAAATCCTGCAAGGTGGGAGGAGATGTTTGCCCTGACTAATTAAAAACAAAATCGGCACCACTCAGAGAGGTAAAGTTACTTGCCCAAGGTCACACAGCTAATAAGGAACAGAACTGAGAAATGATTCCAGATCGATCTGATTCTAAATATAAGTGGTGATGTGCTCATTTTACAGGGGAGTGTGACCTTGCCCCCATGATCATTTGGCTCACTGGTTCAGTAGTAATGGCACTGATTTTTTATTTTAAAGGTACACAAAAAACAGTCTTATTTTTATGGACCCAGAGATATAAACGAATGAATTCCTAAGGGGTAAAATAAATTCCCATAGAGGTAACTAATTGAGTAGAACAGTGTATGCAGCTACTAAATCTGAAATGACTCAATTTCAAAAAGCATCTGGGATTCGTAAGTACAGTTTGCAGATGTGAGTTTTCCTGCTTAGATGGTCAAGTTAAATTGTCAAATAAATTCCTTATCCTCTAATGAAAAGTCCAGAGAACATGTTTTGTGAGTCTTATGAATTTTAATACAAACTGAGGTGTCCCATTAAAATTAAATTTATTAGACTTCTAAGTGAGCCTTATGCTTCATCCCCACTCAAGATACACATATACCTGTTCTCTGGAGCCATGAATGTGACTTATGTGGTGGTGCTTGCATGGGTAGTTATCAACCAGGGTCTCCTCTTTGCTAGTTGAGGCAAGTTTAAAGTTTATCAAGCATTGATCTGGCACTGTTACCCAATCCTCTGAACTGGTCGGAGAAACAAGAATTAGTGGCCTTTGGGAGGATAAGACCTAGCTCCTCTTTCCCCCTTTGTTTTCTGCCCTTTACCTCATTCCGCCCTGACTCTTGGAGGCGGTGGTAAGGCCTTGCAGAACTTTATCAGAAATGCACCTTTGCTTATTCTTTTTTTTTTTTTTTTACAAAATGTCTGGTATAAAACACCACTTTCCAGAATGTGCTACTTTACCTCATGTACTCTACTTGATTATACCTGTTGTAATTCTTAAAGCGCCTGACTTCAGTTGTCTGTTGTTGGCATAACAACGTATCATCAGTTTATTCCCCAGGAAGTTCTGTTTGTTAATGTAGCTGCAATCTTGTATTCTCAGGGAAGTGAAACTGAAAACAAAGAGTTGCATGGGGAAGCTTGTTTAACCAGAGGAGAATGAGGAAGTCAATGGAGATATTTGCAGAAATGTTGACCAGAAACCCAGGGTTACTTTCTAGTGCTTTTGAAATGTTTGATGCTGTTTTCCTTTCGCTCTTTGGAATCTGTTTTTATTGACAGAGGTAACAGTTAGCTGTGAGCTAGATAGTAATTTTGGCCCTCAAATGCCATTTAGAGACAGAGACCAAGGGGACTGAGATTATTTATGCACAAGGATAAGATGTTGAAGGAAGAAGATACAAGTTTGAAATACTATGTCAGCTCCTGAATAGGGAAGATTATCTAGTTCATTAAATAGCTGAAGTTAGGAGTACAAGAGGTAGGACCATTCTCTTTAAGAGACAAGAAAGTTGGTGGTCCAGAGTCCTGCTATCTGATAGGAGTAGCACCATGTAAGATTTTGTTATAGCAACATTAAAGAAGCAAAAAGACACAGAGGAAATTAACTTGAATGGTACTTTTTTCCTATCCTGACACATCCAAAATATTGTTACTCAACACATGATCAGTAAAAAAAAAAATAGTTGAGATAGTTTACATTCCTTTTCGTTACCTAGCCTTTGAAATTTGTGTGTATCTTACACTCACAGGGCATCTCAGCTCAAACTAGCCAGGTTTCATGGGTTCACTTGCCACGTTTGGCCAGTGCCTACCGTATGGGACAACCCAGGTACAGAGCCTTAGGAAGCAACTCACTGATGTCTGCTGTTGATAACGGGGCCAGATGGAGGGTGGATGTTAAGAATATTCAGAATTAGGAATATGTAAAATGTGGTATACCTAAAATATGCTTTCTATGAGTCTGTTACAGTAATTAAATCCTTAAAGAATCAGCCAGGAAAAATAAAAAGCTTATTTTCAAATGTTTAAAAAATAAACAGAAAAATAATACGATAGATCTGTGAGGGGAAATACGACTCTTTGCAGTGTCGATTATAATTGACCACGTCTCCATAAACACACAGAGGTGGCAGGATTTTAATGGGTGACACCTGGCTTCTACTTCACCTTCACATAGACGAATAGATCCCCTGTCCTGTACCTGTTTGTACTCCTACAGCTTCCTGCTTGCCGAATAGTAATCATAGCACTTGAGACCATATGGAAGTGCCCGTTTCTCCGTCCGGGGCCCAGGGTACAGCGTGAACGCTGGGTGGAGGCGGGACCTTTGTGCTGCTCCTGGGGCTCAGGGATCCATTGTTGACCAAAGCAGCTCGCAGCCCTGCCCAGTCTGCTCGGAATCCGCTGTCACCCGTCGTCCTCTGGCTCACCTCACCTACGCTGGTTTCTGTAGACGCTGGGACCTCCACAAAGCTGATGACAAACACAGGATCTCTCTGTACAGCTGTAGCACACGCCCTAGATGAATTTTCGGAAGAGCTTTCGTACATTGTATTTGACCCTGTGTAACACATATGAGGTTTAAAAGTGGAGATGATGAGCTTTTTGGCGTCCATTGGTTCCTATCCTGTAATGTGACTCAGTCCAGACATTCCCAAAGAGTCTCAGGAAGGTAGAGCAGAATAAACGCTCGTTCGGGATGGCCAGTGTGAGGTTACTGTCTGCCCTTGGGGCTCCCAGAGACACCCTCCCCCCGTCCCTGGCTTGTTGTGTGCCTTGCGGTCTCGGCACGGATGTCAGGGGACCTGTGCTACGGCACGTTCCCCTTCTCTCTGCCGTGCCCCCAACCCCCGGAACTAAGGGCACACGCTTGCGTTTGATGTCACCTTACCAGGTGACATTTAGGTCCCTTCTACATTTGCACAGGAGGTGGCGGAAATTCGGAGGCCAGTCTGAGGCCTTGCGGCCGAGCAGAGCCCATGCAGAAAGGGGCCCTGACTTGTACTTTCTCAGTTTGGAGTAAGATGCTGGTAGGGGCAGGCGAAGGTACCCATGGACTATGTTGAATGTCAGGAAATTCATCAGGAATAAGAAAGCACTCGAGGGGGGACCGAGGTGGGTAAACTCAGGTCCCGTTGGCCGTGCTTCCTAATAGACCTGAGCCGCGTCAGCCTTTCCCGTGTTCCTGCGGTTAGCGGTTCTTATGCACCACAGCTGCTCCCGTTTCTAGATTAACAGGAAGGTGAGATCAAAATTGCAGAATTCTGCAGGTCGACGGGAGTTTGGTCCAGCTGGTAACACCACTAAGATATTCAGCAGGTTTCTGTCAGTGCAGGTGTAGAGTGCCCGTTCCTTGCTTCCTCCTAGCTTCCTCGTCCCCCTCATTGTGTGCTTTTATTTAGACTCTTAGCTGTGCAAACTTTTTTTTTTTCCTCTCTCGAACTATTTTTCCTTTCTTCTCCTTGGGAAGCTGTGTGTGGGGGATTCTTTGTTCACTTTTGTCTTTCTGATTATTCTCTGCTTTCTCTGATTCTGTTCCTTTATTTTTTCTTTCATTTTTTAAGCGACTATAATTTATCCATTACACTGTGTTATTTTTCAGGGGTAGATGGAGATTTAATGCAATGTAAAAGAGCAAGGGAGATGATGCCCCCAAGAAACGTCCACCAAAAGCACTCATTACACAGGTGCCCAGGTGACTTTTCACAGCTTTGTTTGAGATGTTTGAAAAGTGATGGATACGTAGCCTGTAGCTGGAAGGTGCAGTAGTGTTATAGCAGAATGGCTTACGTTAGAAGATAAAGCTCTCACTGTCAGGTATATGTGAATACTGGTGACTCATAATTCCGGCATTTCATATATTAAAAGCTTCATTTAATTGT